TTACAATATTCGAAGTAATGGCGGATCTTTATATGCGTCCCTTTTTCTCTCTCTCTCTCTCTTTCCTGATCAGAGCGTATTCCGGCAACCAGTTAAAGTTTAATCAGATTCAACTTTTGAGTTAGCAAACGAAAACACCCATTGTAGATTGGTGTAGTAGCAATGTCAATAATTGTTATATTCACACACATACCTACATTTTTTTATTTTGTTGATTTCATTTTTATTTTAACTAATTTGTAAATTTCGCTTGATTTTTTTTTAATCATATTTTTGTTGCTAAATCATTTATAATAGTTTCTTTTTTTTTATTTTATTAATCGGGTGTTGCAGTGAATTTTTTAGTTTTTGCTTTCGGTTTATTTTCAACAATTTTACGATTATGCAAATTATAGTAAAATGCAAATCAAAACGCAACTAATTTATTTCGACACTTTATAGCGATTTTATTTTTGATTTATGACACCTGAAATGTTTTCTTTTCTTTTTTTTTAATTTATTCATGTTTACAAGCGTTTACATTATTTGATAATATTTTGAATTTAAAATATTTTTGTTTTTCTGCATTTTATTGATAATAGAGTAATCAAAAGAGATGCCCTTTATATAGGAACTACTTAAGAAAGTCTTTTTAACATAATTATTTATTTATGTTTTATATTATTTCTGGTTTCTTCTGTCTCAGAAAATAAAAAGTTATGTAAGCTAATGAGATTTTTTTCTTCTTTATATTAAAATAATAAATTTGAGTTTTAATGGGGCAGGCCGGTCATATGCTCATTAGAAATGGTTTGCTCAATTTTAAATAGCCATTTTAATTTTATTAAAGCTACCAGACAGCGTTGGTGCATATTAAATTGAAAATTATAGGAATATAAAATGACTGATAATAGTTTTGGAGTGAGGTAATATTACAAAAGGTTTATAGGTATAGAAATTTTTATTGAGAGATAAAAAACGTAATATGTTGCATTTTTAAGATGTACGCAATAATGTTTGCATATAATTACTTTGGGTAATTCAATATTTTATATTTTTAATTTAAAATATTGAATTAAGAAGGAGTGAGAAATTGATTTAAATTTGTTTTACGATAATTGCAGTGCTCGAAGTGAGGCGGGATGGAGTAGGATGCCATCCCAGTACTTTTAAATAATTGGAAATTCATTCCACTACTTAATAGGAGAGAAAAAGGCGTTCCGGAACATGTTTTTTAAAATTTAAGAAAATTTTCTAATGAATTTCAAAAATTTTTTTAACAAAAAATTAAATATATGTAATTTTAAATAAGACCAATTTCAAATAGTAACGTATAATTTTTTTCTATTAATGAAATTTTCGTTACTACATAGTAGTCTTTGCATTTCTTTGGTAACAATTTGCACAGTTTTTGATTCAATTTTTAGTTGATTTAATTTTGAATATAAATATTCTCGTTAGTTTACTTCCAAAATTTGGTAAAAAATTCTTTTTTTTTTTTTTTACCATCTCACCACTTTGAGTATCCCACTTCGACACCTGATAATTGTAATATTTTAATTGTCTTATTGCATTCTTCCCAAAAACCGTAGTACTCAAGTTTGGATAATTTTTGTAAATTATATAGCAAATTAATCTGACCATTGGTGCAGTGGTTATGGCACCGGCCCTTTAACCGAAGGGTCTCGGGTTCAAACCCCGGTCAGGTCACTATAAAAATTATATTCAATATTATATAACTTAATATGCAATACTAATAAATATTATACAAGTAATTTTCAAATATTCATAATATTCGATACTAAAGACTAAGAAAAATAAACAGTAAATATTAATAACCTCAAATAATTAATATAAATAAAACTACGGCAGGCTAGTCACCTACCTAGTTAAAACTCTATGACGCTATGAAACTAGTGCATGAGAAATCATGAGTGAAGAAGGAAAAAAAAAAAAATATAGCAAATTAAAAAAAACTAAAGACCTCTTGATTCAAAATTTTGTAATTTAAATAACAAAAATCGTCATTTAAGAAATTATTTCCAAAAGCTATTTAAAATATTCCTAATAGACGAACTTATAAGAAGAGTCAGTGTTATTGATACCATTATTTTAGGTATTCTGTTAAAAAATTTTTTGTTTTTCCATATTTTGTAATAGCGTTGATTCTTTGTATTTTTTAATAACACAGATTTTTTCTTGCGTTCTTTTACAAGAATGTTTTAAAACTGCACCTTTCTTTATTCTTATTGTGCTTCGTAATTTTTGCTCCACAACCAGTGATGTATAAGTTTTTTCCTTTTAATGTTGTTATTGTATTTTTCTATATATTTTTGTTATAATTTTCGTCGTTAGCTTAATTTTTTTTAATCTGTATATGTGTGAATAAAAGCTTTTTAACGAAAAAAAAAGTTTAAAATTGTTTAAAACTGTGGAAACTTTTGACAATTAAATTTTTTTGTGAATGCAAATTTTTAACAAAATATGAATTTGTTATAAATTGAAAAATGATTATCCTAAAACTATGCAATTTTAACTAAATTATTTGTATTTGAACAAAAAGGTGGAATTGTATCAAAAAGTTTTAATTCCTTAGTAAATTTCTTCTCTTGCCATTTTTTGGTTGATCAATATTTAAACTGCACGGCGCATTCGAATAAGTCTTTCCTAAAATCTTAAAATACTTTTGACTATCGAAATAGCTTCGGTTATGACTTTGTGCAAATCTAATATTTCATTTTAGAAAATAATGGAAGTCGGCTTCAGTAGCGGGCACTATTTGATGTGGCCTATACAAAGAAAGATAGATCGGTTTGTTTTTCTTAGTTTCATAATGTGTGACATAATCCAAAGAGGATTGCGGGTGGCGCAGTCTTGGTCCGTTGCTGTAGGACACAGGCTTAACTCTAGCAACGACCCTGGTGCCCTTCACTAGGAGAAGGAAGCCAGAGTATCTGCGCACAATTTTTCTGTGTGGAGCGGTTAAATAAATTCAATCAGAGGTCAAATACTGGAAGTAGTATTTGATTCCAAGCTTCTTTGGCAAAGTCACGAGGAATCTATGTGTGTACGGGCCATCCGGGCCATTTAAAAACTATAAGTACCCGCATATGGTCAAGTCGTAGGACTGCTCCCTGTTTGTCAAGTTGTGGATGTATACTATGATTTTAATACTTATGAATTAATTATAATGACTTATGGAGCAGTGGTATTGGCAGAAGGGTGGTTCTTCGTGCGGCTACGAAGAACCTAAAACGATTGCAGAGACTCCCATGTGCCTGCATCACACGGGCTATGAGGAACTATTCAACCCCGGCTATAGTGATTTTGCGTTTATTTTTTTTGCAGCTTGTTGTCGGGATGGCCATTTTGAGGTTGGGGTGAAATAAAGTCGGCATGAACAAGGTAAAGGATCGAAATGGTCTTGTCGGGGAGATTTCGCTCTAAGCGATGCCTAGGGATGTTCAGCAACGGAAGGGACTGAGAGCGTGACTTTTTAGATTACCCAGTGGAATCAAACGCCATCAGGTGTGTCCGTTGCGATATCGCTGGATCTACAAGTCCTCACCCGTACGTGAGTCTTTTAAAAAGCGATTTAAGTTCTCACCGTACTAGTATTTGTAATTATGGGGTTACATATATGAGAAGTACGTACACATTATTAAATCTATGACTGTTCTAAAAGGTTATTGTTTTCAATATTGTGGTAAATACGATAAATTTATCAAACTAATAAGTACAAATTAATTGAGATTTTGTAAATATTATTCGAAAAATACAGATAATGGTCGATTATATACTGATCATATCAGATTTTTTTTTAATATGTTGGTATTTTTTAGAATAAAAGTGGCAATTTATTGAAATAGATTGTGGGATATTATAATTATATTGCTTCCACTTCACGCCATATACATATGTCAAGTGTTATTATTCTCATATTGAATTCTAATACTATTTATGTTCATAAAATTTGCACAAATGTACGTAGAGCCTCCTTATATAGGTATTAATCAATGGTTATTTCCACTACCATAATATTCATAACAATATTCCAATTTGGATTTGAAGGAGAAATAATTTATAATTATTTCAATTACTATAAAATGTTACCAAAATATTTTCTCTGTTTCTTCCGTTTGGTAATTTTAAAAGTTTTGTATATTTTTTTTTTGGTATGGTACTAAAATAATAAATTGCTGCTAAAGTTTTTTTTTTCAATTTCATTCAATTATAATTTTTTATTAATTTTTTTAATTTTTATTTATAAAAAAAAACAAAACATTCATTAAGTATAAAGCCAGAGGAACTGGTTTTCATAACAAAAAGTCAACAATAGCAAATCGCAATCATAATTAAATTGATAAGCACTAATAAAAAAACGCATTCAAAAATAATTTTCAATTTTTGGAAAGAGTGATGATTAAGTCAATTATGGAATTTTAATAATAAAAAAAAAGCAGCAAAAATAAGCAAAATTACTGTTAAAAATTTTACTGTAAAATTATTTGTCTTCATTTTAATTTTTTTGTGTTTTTTTCTTTATAGAAATTTGACCTTTGAGTGAGTGTTTTTTTGTTTTCATTGTTTTTGATATCGTAAAAAAATATCGTAATTTTTTTTTTTTAAATTTTTTAATGTTTTTTAATTTTTTTTTTCACTTTATTTACATACAAGAATTAATTTAACTAAAAATCGCTTATAAATAACAAAATTACTTAAATTTAATAAAAATTAATCACATTTCGATTAGAATAAAGTTCTTTTCTGTAGTTCTAAATCCTGTTTTTTTTAGCCATGAATTTCTATGTACAATTGGTTTTTTTTTTCGATTTTACTTTAATTATATTTTTTTATTTTAGTTTTTATTTTTTGCTTTACAGCAAACGAAAAGATGAACGGACGAACACAAACAAACGTTCATCATTATAGCGAGAAACGAAGCAAAAGTGAAAGAGAGAGAAAATCTCTTTCATATTGTTTTTTTATTAATTTTATTTACAAAGGGGAAAATTCGGAATTTATTTTTTTGGAGGTAGATAAGTTGGTGCTGAGAATGTTGGTTTATGTGTTGTTGGGGGGGCTTTTGTAATGACTGGTTTTGGTTTTGGTTGTGTGGGTTTTGGTGGTGGTGGTTTTGGTGGCGTTGGTTTTGGAGCAGGTGGTGTCAATTTTTGTGTCGGTTTAGGTGGTGGCGGGGGTGGACGTTTTGTAGCTGGCGCTGGTGTTTTTACTTCTGGTTTTAATGGCGGTAAATAATCGGGTCCTGAGAATGGTTTTGGTTTTGGTGGCTGAGTTGCTGGCTTGGGTGCTGGAGGTTTAATAGAAGCTGGTTTCGTTGGTGCGGGCTTTGGTGTTAAAGGTTTTGGTTTTTGTGGTGCTGGTGCTGGTGGTTTATAATTATAACCTTGTGGTTCTTTTGGAGCAATTAAATTTGGTTTTGGTGATGGTGGAATTCTTGGGGACAATTGATCGCTATAAACCGGTGCTGGTGTTTTATATTCATAACCTTGTTTTTGTTTTGGATAAGATCCTGGACTAATGCTTACACCACCACCATGAGTTTGAGTTGGCTTGTTACCTGGTGGACCGTATCCATAACCACCGCCTGGTGTACCTGGTGCTTTAGGTCCTTTATTTCCAGGAGCTTTATCGAAATTGTAACGTCCTTGATCGGGTCCTGGTGGGCCGGGTGGTCCGGGTGGTCCTGGTGGTCCGGGTGGTCCTTTTGGTCCCCCGGGTCCCTTTGGTCCTCCTGGTCCTATTTCAAAGAAGTTAGTTTTAGTAAATATTCTCCATAAATATTTTTTTTTAGGAAATTAAAAAAAATTTAATATATTGTTTTTACCTCCGGGTCCTCTACCACCTGATGGTCCTGACGGTCCTGTTGGTCCTTCTACATGTACATATGGTACTGGTGGAATGTTTTGATGGACATATGGAGCTTTAAAGAAAAACAAAGGAAAGTAAAAGATTAAAAATAAAATTTAAGTATAATTTGAAAATTTATTAATTTACATAATTTTTATTTTATTAAATTTAAATGTGTCAAAATTTAGTATAACTAATCATCATTTATTACTATTTAAAAGAGTTAATTATGGCGGAAGTGAATTTTTTTTTAAAAATATGTCCGGCTAAATATAGTTGTAGCGCCAAATTTATTATAATCGTTTCGAATTTTATTATTAATAATTAATGAAAACTGTTTTTTTTTTTCTAAATATAAACGGTATCAATAGTGTTTTCGATATTTTTGTATTAATTTATGCATAATTTATATAATTTACAATATTTTTCTTTTATTTAATTATCGGATATTAAAATTTTGTTTTGGGAATTGCCAATGTATTTGAACGGAATTAGCGGAAAAGATTAGATTTTTTTTCTTCTTTTGTACAAAATATTGTTTAGCGTGTAACCGTTCTATTGTGGTTAGCTTATATGTGGGTATACATGCAAATTTATTGACTAACTATTTTATGATTTTCTTTAATTATGCAAAATAATTTTGTACGTTTTTTTCCTCTTTTTGCTTTTTTAACGTTATTCTTATTAATTAATATCAATGAATATGAATGATAGCAATATTTTAGTTTCAATTTACGAAAAAAAAGCAAAAATGTTTATTCATTGTTCTTTCATTTGAATAATAAATAATTTCCTTTGCTACTTCCTGACTAATATTTGAAAAATGTTCATTTTGTAATTACGAATTTTACATAATTTTTGAACATGTGTATAAAGTTCATTATACCTTATAGATTAATATTGAATAATATTTTTGAATAAAAAATTAATTTTAATTATTTTAGTGTTCGTATGTGTGAGATTTTTCAAAAATGAGCGTGCTAAATATCGTGAATAAATAAATTTAATATTCACAATTAAATATGCATTCGGAGTGAAGCCGTTTTACTATTTTTAACATGTTGAAAATTTCATCCCTCATTCTGTAGTCTGTTTCCTATCCTCTTGATTTTTTGACTCTCTTTGTGACTTTACAAGGGTTTATCTCTATTTGATTTTGTAGAAAAGAAGCTGTAAAATGAATTTTAAATTTTCTCTCGATGAATAAGAAAAATAGGCGGAATATTTTAGAAACACTTTTGACGTATTCCAAATTTGAGCTGCAGTATAGTAATTAAAGTTGAATTAAAACATACAATAAATAATGAAGTAAATATCCGGCGTTATATGACATATATTTCATTATTTACCATTTGCATTTGACATTTGCATAATACGGATTAATGTACGTGCATGTATACTACATAAACAGACGCATACATACAAAATTTTTTTATACATTCATTATTTTAGTAAGAAAATTTTTTTTTGCGCATCAATTATTTTTACATAATGGTAATGCACGTACGCGATTTCAAGTAATGTAAAATGTTGTTTAATTTTATTTACATTCGATTGCAGTTCTCCTTTTAAAAAATATTTTCTTAAAATTATGTACACATTATACAAGTTCTTCTACTCTTCTTAAAATTTTTTTTAATGGAAATAAATATTAAAAAAAATTGTTTAGCTGTAAATTTAAATAACGCAGTTCAATTTAGAATTTTCAATATGAAATAACATTGAAATGCCTTATTTTTACGAAATATTACTCTTATATTATTGTACTTTTATATAAAGCATTTACGATGGTAACACAATTAAAAAAAAACCAATGAATCACAGATGCCATCTGTTGATAAAATGTATATAAGGTATTAAATATGACATTTTAAGTTGAACTATCTTACAAAATAAATCAAGATTTGAATTGGAAAATTTTTAAATTACAATTTTTTTTTTTCTTTAGAAAATTTATTGAAATGTTTCGAATGTAAATATTAATATGGTGTTGAGTTTTAATATGAGTTTTCATTTAAAAAGGTAACTTATACAAAGTAAAGAGCGCAGAGAAAATAAGCAGAAAAATATTTAAAATTTATTGCAATTTTTAAGTTAAAAATCTTATAATGAATGCTTATTTAAATATCTTGTTATTACTATAAATAAAATTGTTGTAGTTTTCGGTTTTATTGGCATAGTCTTTTTTTTTATAAATTAAAACGCGAAACCATCAAGATATAATAAGTATGTACATACATAAGGTTAAAGTACGAAATCAATGTAAAATTAAGAGTAAATACAAAAATTTTTTTGCTTAAAATCCGATTATACACGATGCTATTCCAAATTATATAAGTATAAAGGATGTAAAATGTGAGAAAAAATGCGGATGTGCTTATACTAAAATATTATTTATTCAGAAGTATTCAGAATATTTACATAATATAATACTAAAGAGACGCATGCGGAACATACCTAAATTCACAAATTCTTTAAGTATGACGTAGCGTATACTAGGAAAAGTTTAACGTTTACCATATTGGGTATAACATAATATAATAAATTTCATTAAATTACATTAAATTTCACTAATATGGAAAATATAATAATTTTAATTTTATTATCATTAACTTATTTAATAAAAAACACATTCAGCACTTAAATGGACTATACTATTCTTAATTCATATGGTAGTATTAATACATATGTATGTATGTAGCCACATTACAATTATATCTTATACTTGTAAGTGTGTGGGAGTGTTTTTCGGCTAAATTATAATTTTAATATAAATTTTATTATAATATTGCCGGATTTGTGTAAAATTATATACAAAACTTATTAAAAGTATTGTTAAACTCTTGCTGTATTAAAATAGTTCAGTATTGTGAATAAGCATTTAATGTATAATTTGTAAAATAATTTCATAATTGTTATTGAGTCATTGTTAACTGCCCTACAATGAGAGGGGCACGCACAATAGACCTTTGTATATGGTCGTGATGCAATGTTACCCCGGTTTTTGCAAATCTGCAATCTAAGTCATTATTATTATAATATTCACGTGAGCAGGCCGAGTATAAATCTTGAAATGTTCTCCTGATTTCTAAAAGAAATTTAAGTTTCTATTAAATATTACCACCAAAGACATGAACTACATACGAGTATGTATCAATTATTTCCTTTCAATAATTAAAAATTAATTAGTATTTAAAGCAGAAAAGGGAACATACAAAACGATATCCTACTTATGTGAAATGAGCGGCGGAGACCAAGCAAGAATTTGCAATGAGCGCCAGAAAACAGGAACAGGAAAAATTAAAAATGTTTTCCAAATTTTCCAATTACGTATTTTCTAAAGGTTTTCTTTCAGTTTATTGCTTTTTGAGCGGAAGTTACAACAAATTAGAGCCGGGCCTGTGCGTGTTACTTTTAGACCAAACAAATTTTCAGTGCATAGCTTAAATATCAGTGGAAAAATAAAATTTTATTTGAAATAAAATTTTAATTAATTTTTTTCCTTAACATTAAATCACTATTGTCAAAATTAATACCTTATTGTTATTCACAATAAGGTATTTGCGAACTTGAATCGATTATCAATTATCGATTTTGTATGTATAATAAATAATTAATTTAATTATAGACAAAAATTCAATATATTTTTAAATAAAATAAAAATTTCCGTAAAAATTCTTTATTTTATTCTCAAATTTCAAATTCTTATACCGCGGTATAAGAATATTAAAAATTTAAAAAAAAAATATTTTTTGACATTAAGAAAATCGAAAAATTTTATATAAAATCACTTAAATTTTATTACTAAGTCTACATATGAGCATCAAACAAGAATTTATACACACAAATAGCTATAATAAATCTCATAATGTTACTTAATTTTTTATTTCTATTTTTTGTTTTTATTTTGAATAAAATTTTGTATTTGAATTAACAAAATTTTTCGTATTCAAAATAAAACCTTCAAAAACATTTTCTTGTTTTTAATTAGGAAATCTTAAATGAAAAATTAATTTGATTTTCGATTTGTTTTTTTTTTTTATTTTAATTTTTAATACATACTAATAATTTTTATTATTTTATAACCCTTTTTTAAAATAGATTTAAATAAAACTAGAAAAAAAAGGCAACTCAATCACATAAATTAACTATATAGGAAAATAAGTGTGTGTATAAAATATGCAAAAAAAAAAAAAATCCTAGTTATAATAGTTTTATAACTATTATTTTGAATATTTTAAGGAAAACTGGTTTTTTATATACATAAAGTTAAAATTTATAATATTTTATTTAAATAATATTTATGATTAATTGCTTTTAACATATACATAATTATATACGTAGAAATATAAGAAAATTAACCTGTTCATTTGTCAAAAAATAATAAAATCATAAATTTTTAGAAACGGTTGTCAAAATGTTTTTGAATAACTCACAAAAATCTCTTGTGAGTTGAAATTATTGTGAATTGCTTAGATTGATGTATCAATAAAAAAAAATTCTTGTTCTGCTATCACTTTTTGTTTACATAATATTATGTATATATAGCTAAATGACACTTGTTTAAAATTATGACACATTTTAATTGTTTGTTACTTTTTTTTTGTGTGTAAAAAAAAAAAACAATTAATTTTGATTTTAGAAAGTTGTTTTGAATAGAAGTTGAATTTTTTTAAAATTCATTCAACTTTAAATACCGTTATCCAAAAATATTCTAAATGATTTTTGAATAAATTTTTATAAATTTAAGGTGTTCTCATGAACACATATATTTCCAAAAAATTGAAATTGCAAGTCTTGTTTATGAATAAATTATTAACAGAATTTTGCAAATTTTATACTTTTTACACATGTCATTAAATTTTTTAATTAAATTTGTAAAGAATACTTGATTAATTGTAAAGAATATTAACATAAAACTAAAGGATATGCTTAAATCATATTTTGCACCTCATATTTTAGTTCCATAGAATTGTCATTTACTTAAGTTCTTCTTAAAATCAATTTTATTATAATAATGTGAAAATGATAAATAAGTAATAACAATTAATTAATATTTAATATATTATTCAA